TTCCACTCGGGTTTAGAGAGAGCCTCAGTAACATTCCTGGGTATAGACACAAAATCCAGGGAAGAAAGAAAAGCACGGTAGGAGGGTGATAAGGCACTGTAGGAAAGATGGTGTGAAATGCAATGGGTTGTACACTTTCTCTTCCCCTTACGAAATGCAATGGGAAGATCAAGGTTAGTGGGACCAGTTGCAACAATGGTGTTAAGGATAGGAACATTATCATCAGGAAACATAACAGGCTCAGGCTCAAGAGGAATACCTAGAAGGACTGATAGAGAATGGTGTGGGTTGAGGATGTGTGGAGTCAACCATCATCTGTCGGCGCTGATATTTTTGTGAGGCTGCCCGTAGTGGCTCAGGTAATGAAACTGGAGGTGCAGGTGCTGGCTGAACTGATGGAAGTGCTAGCTGAACTAATGAAGGTGCTAGCTGAACTGATGAAGGCACCAAAGAAACAGGAAGAGGAACTGATTATGAGTTCTCCTCCCCAAAACTCTCCCCCTGAGGAGAACCACTCGAGAAGAAGAAGGTAAAATTCATTGTGACAAATTTGCTCATCGACACTGGATCATAACAGCAATACCCCTTTTGGTTCTGAGCATACCCAAGAAAAACACATTTCTTGGCCTTAGGATCCAATTTCTTGTGACGAGGGCCAAGAATGTGAACAAAGGAAACACACCCAAAAACCCTCAGAGGTATATGAAATATCTTCCCATCTAGAAAAAGCAGACTAAATGGCACCTTAAACCCCAAAGTCCGTGAAGGAACACGGTTAATCAAATGCACGACTGTAAGAACAACATCTCCCCAGAACTGCACAGGAACTGAAGCACACACTATAAGACTCCTTGCCACCTCCACAATGTGTTTGTTTTTTCTCTCAGCAACTCCATTCTATTGTGGTGTATATGCACAACTACTCTGATGAATTACCCCATATTCTAGGAAATACGTGGTCAGCTCCTTCTCAAAGTACTCTCTGGCATTATCTGATCTAAAAACCTTAGTTCTCACTCCAAATTGTGTAAGAACTATCTGGTGGAACTGTCGTACCAAGTTAGGAACCTCATCACGTGATCTCATCAAATATATCCAAGAATATCGTGTATAATCATCCACGAACAAGAGAAAGTAACGGAATCCTCCCATGGAAGGGAGATATGATATGGTCCCCATACATCAGTGTGAACAATATTAAAAGGAAAAGTACTTTTATTACTTGGTTTAAAAGACTGTCTACAATGCTTCCTAACTGACTACTCTCACACTCCAAAGTAGATAACTAAACAGATTCAAACAACTTTGGGAAAAGACATTTCAAAGAACTAATAGAAAGGTGTCTCAAGCGATTGTGCCAGAGCATAATCTGGTTCATTGACTCTGACCCACTACTACTGTTGCTGCTAACATGATGGCCCTGATGTCTCAGAATCTCATCCAGAAGGTAGACTCCCCCTCATGACCATTCCCAATCATCTTCTTTGACTCCAGATCCTGCAAAACACAATTACCGGGAAGAAAGGTTACAGAACAATTCAAATTCTTTGTCAAAGAACTAACACACAGTAGGTTGGTATGAAGTCTAGGGACATGTAAAACAGAAGACAGAGTTATATCATTGGTCACTCTATCTGTCCCTTTCCTAGCAATGGGAATATGTGAACCATCTGTTGTAGAGACTCTGTCTCTACCAGAACACAACTGATAGGAACTGAAAAGGGTAGGGGCATTAGTCATGTGCTCAGATGCTCCTGAGTCTATAATCCAAGGAGGTCCCTCCTTACCTGAAGTGGATGCAAGATTTGCAGTTGCATATGAACTACCTGTATGTGCAAAGGAAGAGGTGTAGCTGGCTCCTGCATTTTGCGGTCCATCTGGAAGGCTAGTGCTAGGTGAATCTTTCTTACTCATAAGTTGTCCAAACCTCTCCAATTCTGTCCTCACTACTGCTACTGCAATAGATTCCCAATCCGTTTGGGAAAGAGGGACCGAAGAGTCTCTTGTAGTGGCTACATTTGCATTTCCCTTTGTTCCATATTTGGGCAGGCATAAGATTTGGATGAAGCTTCCAGCAAGTGTCCTTGTTATGCTTAGGCTTCTTGCAATCACACACCAAGTCCTTCTTATCTTCCCTTCTAGTCTCACTACTCTCCTTGTCTCCATTCGGCTTAGGTTTTGTTGTACCAACCATAGCCGACTGGTCAATCCCAGGCTGTCTCAGCATTACATTCCTCCTACTCTCCTCTCTAGAGACAAAGTCATAGGCTTAAGAGAGTGCCAC